GAGCCCCCGGCCCCCTGAGAGCCGGCCTGGCCCTGCCCGCGGCCGCACAGGCCCTCTGAGTGAGCCCCCGGGGTCCAGGCAGGCAGCAGCAGCCCAGGGGCCCCCAGGCCTCTCCCATCCCCGTGCGCCCCCCCCCTCCCCACTTCCCAGGGCAACCTCCTCCTTACTGCCCTCCTCCTGAGTCGTCTGTTTGTCTCTCTCCAGGGATCTCTGTCTCAGTCTCTGTCTCTCTCTCTGTCTGGGTCTGGGTTGTGTGGCTCCGACTCTGAATCTCTCTGTTCTCTCACTGTGATTCCACTTTCTGTGGGTCTGTTTTTGTCTCCCCCATTCTAAATCTGTCACACACGGCTCTCTCTGTCTCCCTTGCCCACACACGTGCTCTGTCTCTCCTGCCCACATCTGCCCGCATTCTCTGTGGGTCCCTGTGACTGGTTTTTTGTTTTTTCCGTCGTCCATCCCAAAAGCAAGAGAAACTTCCAGCCACTGCTGCCCACCCTCCTGCAGGGGATGTTCTGCCCCAGGTCAGTGCCAATAGACGACGTAGGGGTGGGGGGAAAAGCCCTCCCCTACTTGCTGCTTCTGACTCGGTCTCTCCTGTCTTTACAGACCTGCCCGCATGGTTCCATCCATCACTCATGGCCTCATCCTGGCTCCACTGGCCTCCAGCAGAGAGAGGGAGCCAACCCACCTCCCAGAGCGAGAGCTCCAGCCCTGCAACGTGGCCGCCTCCCTGGAGCTCTGCCCAGCTGTCAGCCAGCCCTGGGCATCCCAGCTCTGGGCATTGTCTTGTGTGCTTCCCAGGCCCCAGGGGGAGGGGTGGGGAAGGAAAGAGGGAGGCAGCTGGGGAAGGGGAAAGAGGGAGGAAGGGGAGGGGCCTCCATCTCTAATTTCATAATAAACAAACACTTTATTTTGTAAAGCTGGAGCCCTGCTTTCTTTCCTGCACTGAGGTGTCGGTGCAGAGCTTCCCTGTGCCAAAGGGCTGGAGGAGAAGCCTAAGCCCATCCCCTCCGGCTCATTTTCCTTTCTCCTTTGGAGGACAGTCGGCTTCAAGTCCCTTTAATTGAGGAGGGTTTGGGTTGATTCCATTCAGGGACTAAGGAGATAATGACTTGTACCCCCAACTCCCACCACCTCTGGATTCTCTATTGGTCTTAAACTGTCCAAGGAAATTAAGATGTGGGGATTGGCCAGAGGGGAGCGTGGAGGGGAGAAGTGTGGGCAAGAGGTACTGAAAAAGGAAGAGATAAAAAAGACTAAGAAAAGAGGGACAAGTTCCAGAGTAGGAAAAAATATGGGTGGAGGACAGCAGAAGGGGCAATTCAGTGCCTCCTGGAGCCTGTGGTGCCAACCAAGGGGCAGATGGGCCAGGGTGAGGTGGCACCATCACAGTGCATTTGGGCCTGCTGCCCCCGCCTTTAATTCTCCCCAGTCTATGGTCTTAACTCTTCATGGAGCACAAAGGAGGAGACAGAGGGCCAGGGTGGTGGGCTGTTTGCTGTTTGAGGGGCTGAATCAAAGTCAACCAGGGTGGGAACCCAGAGGGCCACTAGCATCTCTCACTGTGTATTCCTGGCCCAGAGAAGGGGCCCACCCAGCAACCAGCATTAGCACCCAGACCTCCTGACTCCAGGCAGGGCTCCTGGGGACGCAAGTAGATGGATCAGGACAGGTCCTTGTGACCTTCCCCTCCAAGTGGGTGGGGATGGCCATCGGGGAGGTCTGCTCCAACAGGAAGATGCCTTCTCGTGCCTTCCACACCTGCTTGATTAGGGTAACCAGGCGGTGGGAGAACAAGGACCTTGCTCCGGTGACGGAAGGCCTGTGCGAGAGCCTTGAGGGAGAGGAATGAGGGAGACGATTAGGAGGCAGCACCCCAAGCAGATGTCAGAAGGACAGGTTTTCCTTTGCAGGACAGGACGGGCCAGATCTCTGCCCCTTTGGTCTCACCCTGATGTCTGCATCAAACCTTCAGGAATAAGTGGAGAAAAGGAGGGACTGACTCATGGGCCGCCCCTGGGTAGGGAGGGGTGCATTGGAGTGGATGCAGGCCTTTGCCTGCTCTCCCAGACCTCCTTAACACCCTTCTGAGCTCTTTCCCAACTCATTAAACTCCAAGGAAAACAACAGGGCATAGGGAAACAGGCTTGTCATCAAGACCCTTGGGCTTATCTCTGGTCTTAAATACCTCACCACTGGAAAGACAGAGCCTGTCAAAAGGAGTGAAGAGGGGCAGGACCGGCAAGGAGAAGAGAAGAGAGAGAAGGGGAGAGGTGATGAGGGAAGGGGAGAGGTGATGAGAGAAGGAGCCAAAAAAGAGGGAGCTTGCCTCCTGTTCTGCCCTCCCTGTCTGGGTTCTACCCTCCTTCCCTGATTACAGGGAAGGGAAGGGGCACAGAACTGCATGTGGTTCCCAGGGAGCCTTGGGCTGGGTTAAGGTGACAACCCCAGGGTCTGGACTGCCCCTCCCTCCCTGCCTTTTCCCACTCTGGGGCCTCAGGGGTGGGAGGAGGCTGAAGTAGTGAACCAGTGGGGTGAGGCTTGCCCCTGCCTCCTTTCTATTCTGGACCATTTTCTCAAAAGAAGTGACAAATCCTTTCTCCTTGATAAGGGGCCATCTCCTTACCAAGGTGGTCCTCTTTCTCTTCCAGCCTGTTTCCTGTTCCTACACACAGGGGCCGCACATGGGCCACCTCTCCTGGATCGCTCACTTACAATGAGACATAGACCCACACTCAGCTCTGCATTTGGAGATGCACCCTCTTAAGCCTGAATCAAACACTTGAACCCTGGGCAAAAGCTGCCCTTCCTCCTGTGCTCCTACAGGACTAGCCTGGCCCAGGGGTCCCTGACCTCTAGTTTTCATTCCCAGAGTCCTAAACCTCCTCCCCTGAGGCTAAGGAGTGGGTGAAGGATGAAAAGCTGCTGTGGAGGCCCCCGGCCAGATTCCCAGACCTTGGCTGTTCTGGGCACATTTCTGCAACACTCCCCTTCCTCCCCCTAACCCCCATCATTCCCTAAAGGATGGAGCCTGGAGGTCTCTGTCTGGCCAGCTTCTGCCTAGAGGAATTCTTAGCCTGAGGTGCAGGGCTGGGGCTCAGGACTGGGCTGGATGCTGGCAGGACAGGTGTCCAGGAAGGGGAAAGGTGCTGTTCATTTGGGACTGGAAGCTTTAGGAGTAAGACAGAAAAAGAAAGTTCAGGAACATTCCTTCAGGTCCCATCTCCTAGATCAACCGTGCTATCTCCCTCACTTGGCCTGGGGAGGGGAGGGTGGGGCGGCATCCCTCCCAGAGCTGTCAGCCTGCATCTCCAAGTCAGGGCTCACAGGGGAGCAGAGGGGAACAGGAGGAGCAGGAGAGGATGTGCTAAGCCAGCAGTTCCCACTGGCACAGCCAGCTCCCTCTTTTCTTCATGCCCTAGAGGGAGCTTCTGGAAGGAGAGGCTGGGGATGATGCAGGAAAATGGGGCACAAGAGGATGGCTATGGCCCAGGTCTTGGGCGAGTCCCTGGGATGTGCTCTGCCAAGTGAGGGTCTTTGGCTTCATGTAGGAAAGAATTCAAGAGTCAGCCAAAGTAGAGTGAAAGTAGATTATTCAGGAAGACACACACACTTCATAGACAGAGTGCAGGCTGTCTCAGAAGGCCAGAGAGAAAGTATGCTTGGGGGTGGGGATGCTGGGTTATTAGTTTTTATGGGCTCAGGAGCTTCATATGCTAACAAATGGGAGGATTATTCCAACTACTTTGGGGAAGGGGCGCAGATTTCCAGGAATTGGGCCATGCCCACTTTTGGCCTTTGATAGCCAGCCTCAGACGGTCAAGTCACTGCGCCTGTGGGTCTGTTATTTCATATGCTAATATATTACAATGAGCACGTAATGAGGCTCGAGGTCGACTGGGAGTTGACTCTTCCCTCATCTTGGGCCTAGTTGGGTTTTAACCAGTTTATGTCCTATCCTTAATTGCTGTGTCATTCTTTTAACGGTTGTCTCCTGCCCCTCTTCCTACCTGTCTCAGAGAGAAGGCAAAGGGATGATGGGAGAATTCTGGAAGCAGCCATGACAGGTCCGAAAGCCTGAGCACAAGGCCTGGCAAGTAGGGCCAGAGGGGGCTCGGCGGGGCCAGCTTCCTGGGCTCAGCACTCCAGGCCCGGGGGCTCCTTGGGTTTCCTTCTTCCCTGGACACCAGGCTGGAACATGGCCCAGCTGCCCTCTCCCCCACATCACTCCCCAGAGGCCTGGTAGCAAGAGGCCCTGGGAGAGAGACTGCGCTGAAGGAGCGCAGCTCTGGAATGGAGGGCCTGGATCCCAGCCTCATCTCTGCACCGATGGTGTGGCCTGGAGCGAGTCACATAACACTTCGAAACTGCTTCCTCTTCTGTCAAGTGAGGATAACTTTTACCTCAAAGAGTTTTCATAAAAACTGCTTTCAGTAAAGGAGTCATCATCATAGTCATTAGGTTTGAGTTGGGGGGGGCGGTGGTGGAGGAGGAAAGCTGATGCCGGAGGCCCATCACCACCGCCCCCCTCAACCTGGTGTCCATGCTGCATGGTCCCTGCCCCTCCCCACCTGGGCCCTCTGGGCTGCTATCCCCACCTCATTCTGCTCCCGCTATCCCCCCTCACCAAGGTGAGAAAGTGACAAAGACTCTGAAACGGAGCTGAGCACTAAAACGGGAGGAAGAGAGACAGGGGATAGGATGGGGAAAAGCGGAAAGGAGGATGGCAAGAAAAGAGGGTCTAGCACCTAGCACAGCATCTGGCGTGCAGCCGGTGCAATAAGTATTTGCTGAAAGAAGGACTTGGTGCTGAGGATGCTGGATCAATCTATTGGGCGCCAACAGGAACATGTCGGACAAAGCCATCAATAGCTCTGGGAGGAGAAAGGGATGGAGTCTTGGAACACATGAAGCTGGCAACTCGTAAGAGCAGGAGCCAGACTGCTGTAAGTCTGCTCCCCCTGCAGCCCCACCTCCCACCCACTTCCTGGGCTGGGCCCGGTCCTGCGGCTGCTCACAGCGTCTCCATCTCTGCGGGCATCCTGGAGTCTCCCGGTGCCGGCGCCGGCCCCGGCCCCGGCCCCGCAGACGGTTCTCCACCTTCGCCAGCTCTGTCTGGGGTGGCCTTCTCCTCCTCCTCCTTCTCCGGTCCCGGAAGCTTCTGCAGCTCCGAGTACAGCACCCAGGCATCGTTGCGGGACACATACTCCCATCCACTCTCCCGCACGTGGAAGAGGTCTACGCAGCCCCCCGAGTAGGCATCGCGGTGGGTGGCGTGGGCCACGGCGCGGCGGGCCAGGGCGTAGGCTTCCTGGGTGCTCATGTCGTAGCGGTAGCCGCGATCCAGCACGCCGTAGGCGTAGGGGGATCCAGAGCCCACCGAGAAGATGTTCCCCTGCAGGAGGGTGCCGTCGCTGTAGACGTAGAAGAGGGCAGGGCCGGAGCGGTCCCAGCCGCAGAGGGCAGTGGCCACGCACAGATCCAAACCCCGATAGCGCGACATCATGACCGATAAGAGTTTGGCGGCGCCGGCCACACTGGGCAGCTGACCCTCCCTCAGCGCCCGCAGCCGCAGCTCGCGCCGCAGCACCCGGTACCACGTGACGCAGTCGGCTGAGGTGCCAGAGGTGGTGCCCAGGAGGTGCTGGTGCACAGGGATGACCTTGCGTGAGGCTGGACACTCCACGTAGTTGCCACAGGAAGACCGCGTGTCCGCCGCAGCAATGACTCCGTGACGGAAGCGGAAGGCCAGCGTGGTGGTGCCGTGGGCCAGCCTGGGGCCGTGGATCTGCAGGAAGGTTTGTGGGTCACAGCCCCGGGGCACAGCCCAGACCCCCATCTGCGGCAGGTGAGGTGAGGCTCCCTGGGTGTCCAGGGCTTGCCATTCGCACACGTCCTGCAGAGCCATCCCTGGAGCCAAGTAAAGGTTGAAAGGAGTGACGCAGAGATTTGTGAGCTGGGTCAGGTGTGGAAAGAGAGACACTAAGGAGAAGCTGGGCTGTAGCCAGAACCAGCAACGAAGGCTTGTGATCTGTGGCTTCACTTCTACCTAACTCCAAATCTGGCTTTGGGACTGGCTGATGGAACAGAATGCCCTCCCCAACCCCTGCCCCTTCCCAGGGCTGCTGACGGGAGACAGGAAGGAGATCAGTAGTCTCCAGCGCTGGGGGGACGCTGCCCATGACATGCCTGAGTGTCACCCAAGGAGTCTCCTGTCCATCACCCTCCAAGCACCTGGAGCTGGATGGGGGCTGGGTCACTGGAAAGGAAAAGAGGTGCCAGTGGAAGGAGCAGAGCTGGGTTCCTTCTGTTTTTCCTGTGAGGGGCACTGGGCAGGCAAAGATAAATAAGGCCCTGTGCTGCCCGGAAAGGGCTCCCAGCCTGGGAAAAAGTGAAGACAAGTCAGTGCAACGGCGCAGTGAGAGTAGAGAGCCGTGGCCCCACCACGGCCTGAGTTCCTGATGCTGAGCTCTCTTTTCAAGGAGATGGGCCCAGGGAACAACAATGCTCAGCTCTCACTTTCACTTCTGGGTCAAGGTGGGAAAAGAGAAACGGACTAGGACAAGGACAAAAGAGAAAAGAGCAAGAGAGCCTTGTATGGGGGTGCTCAGATACCTTCAGAAAGGCAGGGTACTGTGGGGCCTGGTGAAGGGGAACTGGAAACTGGAGGTCTTTTTCTCCTCTGCTTTGGGGGTGAACATGGCCTTCCATCTGCATACAGAGATGGCATTCCTGACAGCTCTCCGTCAGTGTAGCTTCTCTAACTGGTGTTAAGGTTCTGAAGATGTAGCTGAAAGGATCTAGTGACTTTCTCTCTCCTAGTCCCCCTTCTGTCCAACAGTTCACAAGGGCAAAAAACTGGTTTGTATGTCCAAGGCAGGAGAAACGACTGACTTTGACACCATAATGCTGCGTCTAAGTCTTAGACCAACTACGGGTGGACCCTGACAGCTGGCCTTTCATTAAGACAAAGTAGATTGGGGCAGAGTGACAAGCTACAACACTCCCAGCACCATATAGAGTATATTTTACTGAACATTATAACTCAAAGGGGTGTGGTGGGAAGGTGTTTATTCAAAGCAACAGAACTACACGCAAAGGAAAGAGTCCAGACCCTCCAGACACCATGATGTTAGGGCTGTGGCATCATAGTTTCCTGGAGTCTCAGGACTAAGGGCAAGTGTAACATGTCATGGGAAGACTGGAGAAACCAGGAGGTCACACTAAGGTCCAGCCAGTCCTTTGTGTAGGAACACATGGGGATCTTCCTGAAGAGATAAGAATGTCTCTGCTTTCTAAACAGAGACTAAGTCGTAGTCTTAGACTCTTTATATGTGGATGGCTGGCCACATCCCTAGGTCAGGCCATTATTAAGTCAGATCTGGACAGATGAGTGGTCTAGTAATTGGCCACCCTCTAGCATCCCCCTCTAATCCTCCACAGCATCATGATTTCCTAAGGTAGCCCTCAAACCCCACGTCTCTTCTACTAAGAAACTTTGAAGGGCTACAAGATCAAATCCACCTTCTCCAGCCCAGGCTGGCATTTAAGGCCCACCACTCTCCAATCCTAATCCATTGACCACAACCTCTTTTCACACTATTTCTAACACATTTCCCAGCTCTCCATCTTTCTGAATCCTATCTTTCCAAGTCTGGCTTAAGGATCACCTATTCTGAAAATCCTTCCCAGGTATGAGCTGAGAGAGGAGAGGCTGTAGGTTTGAGGACCAGTGGGATCTAAGTGGTATTTAAAGAAATGAATCCAGACCTCCTTGGCTAAGACTTCCTGAACCCCCAACCTCACCCCAATTTATACTGACCTCCTCTCCCAATCTCTGAACTAAAGCACTTATTGTTTCCTTCCGCCAATATTGAGATACGACTGACAAGTAACATTGTGTAAGTTTAAGGTGTACAATGTGATGATTTGATAGATGTATGTGTATGTGTGTATACTGCAAAATGTTTACCACAATAAGGTTAGTTAACAAATCCTGGTGGGGAGGGTATATAGCTCAATGGTTGAGTGCCGGCATGCTCGAGGCCTGGGGTTCAATCTGAAATACCTCCATTTATAAATAAATAAATAAACCTAATTACTTCCCCCCACGAAAAAGAAAAAAAACAAATTTTTCATCTCACATAATTACCATTTTTGTTGCTGCTGTGGTAAGAACGTTTAAGATCTATAATCTTAGCAACTTTCAAGTATACAAGAGGATTGTTAACTATAGTTTCCATGCTGTACATTAGATTCCCAGAACTGACTCCTCTTATAACTGAAAGTTTGTATACTTTTTGCCTCTGGCAACCTCCAATACACTTCCTGTTTCTAAGAGTTTGGCTTTGTTAGATTCTGCATATCAGTAAGATTATTCAGTATTTTTCGTTCTCCACCTGAATACTTTCACTTAGCATAATGACCTCAAGTTTCATCCACGTTGTCACAAATGACAAGATTTCCTTCTTTTTGTGGCTGAATAATATTCCACCACATATATAACACTTTCTTTATCCACTCAACCATTGATGATGGATTTTGTTTCCATGTCTTGGCTATTGTGAAGAACACTGCAATGGAGAGGCCGCGCGCAACTGGGGTGCAGATATCTCTACCAGATAGTGACTTCATTTCCTTTGGGTACGTATCCAGACATGAGATTACTAGATCATATGGAACTTCTATTTTTAACCTTTTGAGAGACCGCCATAGTATTTTCCAGAGGGGCTACACCAATTTATATTCCCACCAAGAGCAGCACTTATCATTCGTACCTCTCCTTTTTGAAGTCTCCCTGAGTAGGGGTCTTGGAGCAGAGAACTAATGTAAAGTAAGTTGGGAACAGGTCATGGAAGGCCTTGAATGCCATGAGGAGCTGAAACTTACAGACCGTTTTTAAGCAGGCAAGTGATAAGATCTAGATGGTGTTTTAGGAAAATCAATCTGGTGCTGTGCAGAATAAATTAGAGAGCACAGTTTGGGCCCAGAAAAGTTAGAAGATTATTTCAGTAGTTCAGGATTGAGGAGATAAGAAGCCAGAGGTGGTATTAGGTTGCAATAAAAAAGAATGTGAGAAGTGTTGTAGAGGAAGATTCAACTGGACTTGGCAACTTACTGGATATGGAGGAAAGGAAGGGGAGTTGTCAAAGATCAGCCAGAGCTCCAAGTCTCCGTGACTGGGAGAACATTATTGTCATTCTTTCATGTATTTTTTTGGCAAACATGTATGAAGCATACAGTGAGCGCAGAGACGAATAGTTGAGAAATGCCTGTCTTTAAAAGCTCACAATCCAGCAGAAGATAAATGTATACTTATAACCAGGTAAAATGTGAAAGTGCCTTAAGAGAGGTACAAATGCCATTAGTGGCAGTGAAAGAACCACTGAGAGAAGTCAGGAGGACTAGCTGCACTGTGAGTGTGACTGCAAAATAGTATGTGCTCAATAAACAGTGGCATTTTGCATTTTCCACACCATCCAAGTGTGAGACCCACATAAAGATCTTCTGCTTCATTATATTCTGATGGTTGGGCTTGGAAAGGGTTGCCAAATCTCAGTATTAAAAATGCAACACATGCAGAGTCTGCTGGGAAGAGGAAGGGCTGAGTTGGGCATCAAGAGGAAAGCAGAATTTAGATATTGATGGATATTGCTGCTGGAATCCAACAAGGAAGGCCAGACACTGACTTCATAGAACCATAAGGCAGGAGGCAACATTTCATACATTTGCCCACTTCCTTGCTTGTTATGGTTCCCAAGAGGGTTCAAAAATGAAGGTGGGTGGAGAGAGGGAGAGACAATCAAATATAGCACATGACTGAAAAAGAGCTCGTCTTAGCAAGCTCATGTCAGAAAACCTCTTGGTACATCTTTATGGACCTTCAGCTCTCCTCCAGGCTCTGAAATGGTAAATTACTATTGACTCAGTTATTCAGTAACTGAACTGAGAATCCAATCTGTAGATTAACTGGTCCCTTTGCCTTCCCTTTTTTATTCTTCTGTCTGCCTTTGAGTCAATCCATTACTTGTTAAAACTTCCACCAGAGGTTGGGAGAAAAGACAATACTGAAACTTAAAAATTGGTTACTGTTAGAGAACGTGGCTAATGTGGCGACTGATGCTATCATACAACAAGTGATACAGCACATTTATTTTGTTGCGCTTTTTAGCACAAATTACTGTGGTTTAACTAACTTCACAGGAAAATGATCTCAGAACAGAGCATTGTTTTACTTAGTATTAGAGTGCCCTTAAACAAAATGGAAACTTCGGGCGCGTTAATAGAGTGCTGAAGCAGTAGAAGTTAGAGTTACTTGGACACCGGGCGGGGCGGGGCCGATCTACCGCTACCGGTTAAGAACAGATTTTCAACCAGTCACGCCCTTCTCAAAGATGGCCGCCCCCGCTTCCCTCCCTCAACATGGACATTTTTCAATTGCTTCCTATGAAGTTGAGGTTAATCTAATCCCGTGCTGCTTGCGTGACCAAAGTTAAGATGGCAGCCACATCCCTTCATAATTTACGGGTAGTGAAGTCATTTATTTTTCCCTCCTCGGTGAAAACAGTCACTTGCATCTGCCTCTTCCTTTTGGAGGCGTGGCTGCCAGGAGTTAAAATGGCTCCTCCCAGGGATGGATTTAATAGGGAGTGAAGCCGGGACGGTGAGGCGTTGCCCGGCCGCTTTTTGCTAGGCGTTCTGGCAGGCAGTTCCCTTTGCCCTTAGTAGACATGGCGCTGGCCAGCGTGTTGGAGAGGCCGCTACCCGTGAACCGGCGCGGGTTTTTTGGACTCGGGGGTCGTGCAGATCTACTGGACCTAGGTCCAGGGAGTCCCAGCGATGGGCTGAGCCTGGCCGCGCCCAGCTGGGGTGTCCCAGAGGAGCCAAGAATCGAAATGCTTCATGGAACTACCACCCTGGCCTTCAAGGTGCGGACCCAGCC